TTATTACAAAGACCCAAATTTTGACGTTCATACCATCGATGACGAATCATACGATCAGGCCGAAATGTGTTTGGCCGAATTGGTAAAAGGAGATACATATACTTGTCCCATAATGGCCAAGCCTAGACCATCGGGCAAAGATGAGCCCATAAAGGATGGAAACATAAAGGCTAGAACGTTCTCGTTCGATGTGACTAAAGCTGACCTTATATTTGATAAATTATATAGGGATAAGCAAATAAAGCTGAGCGATAAGCACAAATTGTCAAACCCTGAACAAATAAAGGGTAAAAAATATTGTAAGTGGCATAATGCATGGTCACATTTGACGAACAATTGCTTGGTTTTCCGTCACGTATTGTAGGATGCTATTGAATCAGGACGAATTACGTTCGACGATAAGAAAAAGATGGCAGTGGACGAGAATCCTTTCCCACAGCCACTTGGAGTAAATATGGTAACGTTTGGGTTCAAGAACAAGTTGCCAAAATTCAAGTTGGTCATAGACGATGGAGAAGAAGACACTAAAACACATCCCAGTGTCTTCGAACGAATCAAAGGGAAAGAACCAAAAAAGGACGAAAACGTCCTGTGTGCAAGGTGTAAAAGGGAAGTAAATGGAGACACGGAGAAACCAGGGACATGGCAGCATCCTCATCGCCCTGCCTTCTTCCCAAACATTCAGCCTGGCAGAGGGCGAGGTACATCATTTTATAGAGGACCACCTTTCGAAAGGCAGTTCAGACCAGCAGATACTGGAAGAACATTTAGACCGCAACCTCGCCGGCCAAATGTATGGCATTTATTCCAATACAGCGCAGGAAGGGCAATACCCTTCGATGAGATGACTAGGACCCAGTAAAGGCGTTTCCAGCGAAACTACGGATGGATGATAAGGCAGCAACAAGGAATGCCACATCCTAAAGCGCCTCTATTACTCAAGGTAGCCAATCAGAACGTCCTCAAAAGTAAAGAGACTGGTACAGATGAATCAATGAAGGAACTACCAGAAACCTCTTCTGGGAGGTCAAGGTTTGAGAGGGACAAAAAGAATGAAGAAGATCCAGATCAGCCCCTTGCTATCCAATTCGGTACGTTGCCTCCTGTCGTGGCCAATAATTACCTACTGGCCAATGAATTCAAGAATAAAGAAAAGGAAGAAGAGAGGGAGGACAACGAAGGAGAAGCCTGCATGCTGGTATGTGAAGAATGTCAGACTTCTGGAGAGGCCTACAACGATGAAGAGGACGATGGGATGACAGACATTGAAGAAGAAATCGACTTAGAAGCAGAAAGGAAAAAGAGGGGAGTATCGCGCAACACTCTGTTTAAGCAACTACACCAAGAGGGAGTGCGCGAAGTAGACTTGTTGGGGGAGCCATCTGGGCATCCTTTCGACTTCTACGTACTATACGGGACACCCAAAAGAAAGAAGAGAGTACCTCGCTCTGAAAAGTATGGGTCACCTCCAAAGATAATGCCCCCTCCACAGGTTGGATAACTGATGAGGAAGCATTAGAAAGAAGTAAGAAGGAAATTCGGGAGACAGAGGATCAGCATGACATACTACACGTCGACCTATCACGGGGGGATAATTCGACAGAAAACAAGCAAGAAGTAGAAATAGAGGCTGCCGAAAAGGTTATTTTTAAACGGCCAGCCATGAAATTGACAAAACACCTGAGGCCGTTATACGTTAAAGCTCTAGTTAACGGCGTCCCAATGGCAAAGGTGCTTGTCGATAATGGAGCGGCTATAAACACCATTCCATCCAGGATGATGAGAAAGTTCGCAAAGACAGAGGGTGATATGATTCCTACAGAAGTCATCCTCACTAGCTTCAATGGAGGAGCAACTTCAGCTAAGGGAGTTATGCCTTTAGACATAACTATAGGTACGACTACTAGGACCACTGTCTTTTTTGTAATAGATGGCCCTACTAGTTACAATGTGCTCCTAGGAAGAGATTGGATACACGAAAGCCGCCGTATACCCTCGTCGCTCCATCAATGCCTGATTTTTTGGAATGATAAAGGCGAAACAGAGGTGGTACAGACTGATCATAGGCCTTTTGTCGCGGAAGCAAACTCGGTGAAAAAGTTCATGTACGAAGGAAACTATGGACCTGTCAGGGTGGTACAAGACGGGGAAGAAACTCAAGTTGTCGCGCAAAGTGAAGAGCCATTCTCAGTGGACGCACTCATTGAGATGTTCAAACAGATGAGGCCAAATATAGTGGCCCTGGAAGAGCCAGTGATTGGCAAAAGAATAATCAAGGAATCTTAAATGGATTCTGAGTTGCA